GTGTGTGTGTGTGTGTGTGTGCCGAGCGCAATACCACAAGATACACCATCGGCCCCGCTGGTATCCTGCCACGGGACAAAATCAATGCCCAGCCAAAATGAATCTTTGCGCTGTGCTGCTCCTATACACACATTTTTATCATTAATTACCACACCGATTAATTACGACACCGATTGGCTCCGATTGGTAAAATCAAGGCGGGAATTGGAATGGGAATGAGCCACGATAGCGGGGCAAGCACTCCAATATATACATATACATGTATATAATGTATTTATATATTTGTATTCAGGGTTACCAGCCCGTACGTACGGAGGCCCCCGGGCGGACCTCCGTACGTTCGGGCGTTCGGGGTCCCGTACGGGGCCCGAACCCGACGGCGTTCGGCCCCCGCCAAAAATTATTTCGGGGCCTAAATTTTTTTATTTTTTTTCTGAATTTTTTTGTATGAGTTCTCTATGACGTGAGGTACGTGCCTATAAATTTTCAAGTCATTTGGCTTAGCCAAATAAGAATTAAAAATCGCCAAAGATGGCGGTGTCAAAACGTGCTCGCCCACGTTTTTTTTCACTTTTGACTTTTTGTTTTCACTTTAGTTCGGGGTCTAAACAATTTTATTCTTTTTTGAAACTTTTTTAGTGGGTTTTGCATTATGTGAAGTACACATCTGTAAATTTTCAGGGCATTTAGCTATGCCAAAAAAAAAAGAAAAATCGCCAAAGATGGCGGTGTCGAAAACATGCTCGCGCACTCACTGAATTTAATTCTCTTTTTATTTTTATTAATTTTTATTATTAGTATTTGTTCTGTGTATTTTATTTTTATTTCAAATTTGGTAAGGAATTCGGACGTAATGCTCAGGCAAATCTTGTTTCATTTATGTTTCTCCATAACATATCTTTTTTTCAGATTTTTTGATGACTTTTTTTTTTTTTTTTTTTTTTTTTTGGGGTCCGCGTTCGGCCCTAACGGCCGAACGCATCCCCAAGGGGTCCCATACGTTCGGGCGTTCGGCCCGTCCCGAACGCCGGTTACCCTGTTTGTATTTATATATATTGTCACGAAAATATCAGAGCGCAAATGCCGAAAAAAAGGGAAAAAAAGAAAAGAAAACCAGGGAAAATTGAATTCAATTTTTTATCTTCTTCCTTATAACTCCCCCTGTTCAGATAGATATATATATATCGTCATATATATCGTCACAAATATATATATCGTCACAAGAGTATCTATACATGATGCATATGAGCTGAAAAGTGTCCAGAAAATTGTTCAGACTCTTCAGAAAACTTTCCACCGAACAAGAACGTGGCAGAGCCAAGGGACCGGGATTGGGATCGGGATCGGGATCGGGATCGGTGGCCAGGGGGGAAGAGGGGGGGGGAGAGGGGGGAGGGGGTTCATAAATCTAAGTAGAACAGCAAAGAGACGTGAGCGTTAATACCTAAGTGTAACTTCGCTTAAAAAGTGACTACATGCAGGTATTTCGAAACAGACGGTGTCCAGCTGCCCTCCTCACCCGAATAGAACGCCCGGGCATTATAGCAGGCTGTGTTTGGGGCAATTTTCGGTCCAGATGCAGCCATAATGACCGGGCGTTCTATTTGGGTGAAGACGGGTTGACCCATACGAGAACCATGTATCTACATCCACTAGAGGCACATGTGCATGTATTTCAGAAGTCCTCAAAAAAAAA